TAACTTATTATTATTTTGTCGGTAGAGTGCATTACAACATGTTTACTTCACTAATTATTATTTTACGACGCTGCCAACAAGGGAATTTCGTCTAGTAACAACACCAGAGATCATGAAGATTGATGTTGTGTTTGTTATCCTATTCGACTCTTCAACCGACTGTTTATGAGTAAATAGTTGTTATACTCTATTCTTTACAGTGTGAAAAAAGCAGCAATAAACCAGAACGCAAGGGCCTGACTAAGAAAGTGAGCATTTTAGATTATTTAGTATTTGTAAGAATTAAATGCAATCACATTTCTTCACGAGTGACTTCAGTAATTATTTACAACATAAAACCGAAATATGTTATAGTCTACAGTACAAACACGATGGGACCTAGAAAATATATAGTCTAGATTCGAATTGTCTAAGTTTAATTTATAGAAGCAAAATAGATATACGCTTTAACATAGATTGTGTTGTGTTTCACTTCATTTATTTTGTTACAAGTTAGCCACAATATTGACTATAGAACTACAATCAACATTAATACCCAATGTAATTTAGGATCAACCGTTTCTCATCATAGCCGGGACAATCATGTTGTTAAAAATAAGAAAAAGGTGCCGACAACATTGTCTCCTGAACCCATGCAGGTTGAGGCAGTATTCCAGAGAGATCAGTTAGCTGTAAAGCATAAACTAACGAACCAATGGATAAACAACGACGGACATACACGAACCGTGAATTACAAGCATGAGTACATGTAGACCGATAGAAGAGCACCATCTACAAGTTAAAGGCTCACGTTAACTCCTCTTTTTTTTTTCTATGAAGCTAGAAACCTTAGAAGTTTAGAATGTAAGCTTACTTCAATCAAGCTTAGTTGAATCATTATTTCTTCGTCGTGTGAATGCAGTTTAGTTTGGTGTAATTATTTGCATTATCTCACATTGTTAATTCCTATTTCATATAGAGAAACTGATTCATTGTACTTATGCGTGGCCTACAACCCAGAAGAGTGTTATTCAGTTGAAACTACGACTGGACGCATAAAAAAATCCAACATAAATATGCATATTAGGTGATTATCAGATATATATACATAAGGCCGGGTGTAACCTGTTGGTTAGCACGTCCGGACTATGAATCTATGGATTAATGGTCCGTTAAGCGTAAATACAAAAACGCATTCCGCACTTTCGGGCTGTGCCTGCACTATAAGAGTAACTGTCTAGTTCCATTATTCGATCAAATAACAGTAGCCCAAGAGTTGGCGGCGGGTGCTCTTGACTAGCTGTCTTTTTTGTAGTCTATTGGAATGGGCTATGCTCAAATGGAGCCCTTGTGCTTTGCGTGAAAACCTGAAACAAACATTATTTCTACAAAAACATCTTTAATATATCCAATAATGACGTTGCAGTTAGGAAAAACGATGATTCTGAGAATGAGACCATATAACTAATTTCAGAAAAATTCAAATGTGGTTATAAAACCAAATGTAATTTTTAAGCAGAATTTACTTGGTTGATTTCTGGCCTCAGTTTATGTATAAGAAAGCTCTCTACTATAAGGAGACTTATCCGTTCATCGTTGACCCTTGTTAAAAACTTGAATTGAGTAGACGAGTACTTCACACCCACCCAGAACATTAGGCTAGCACACTTGATATATTCAAAGACCTGAAATTTGCATGTTCCTTCACACGACTTAAAAACTTTCATGTAGTAAAATCAATATAACCTTACTTACAGCAAGGACAGATATAATGTGCGTGGGTGTATTCGAAACTTAGCGTCAGTATCAGCAGGTGCAGTGAACCATTAACCATGAAGATAGAGAATATTGATCATGTGGTGGTTCTGTCTTGGCTTGAACTCTTGGCATTCCTATAGTTATGATCAGGGGATGGCAATAAATAATGTTCTTTATTAAATATAGATCGCATGGCGCCCCTTTCTGGACTTGAACTCTTGATATTCCTTCAGTCATGATCACGGGACGGCGGTAAATGATACTCACATTCCTTTAGTGATGATCACGGGGCGGCAGTAAATAATACTCTTTATTAAATGTTGATCATAAAGAGCCTTTGTCGAGCTTCATCTCTTGATACTCAATAATGACCACGGGGTAGCGATAAATAATAGTATTTACTGAATATTGATCACATGAGGCTTCTATATGGGGCTGAACTATTGGTATTATTTCGGTCATGACTATGGGGCGGCTGTGAATAATAATACTAACTACCAGTTGCCTATATTGGATGTCAGCCAGTCAGAGCTCACCCTGTCAACATCTCAGCCAATCAAAACTCGTCAGTTAGGCACTGCTTCACTTTGTAGTGCAACTAATAAATAAGCAAACATCGGATAGCACCAGACTGTATGGGTGATATTATAAAATTAAGAATTCCACTTTCTATGCAATTAATTGCCACTTTTCCAGGAAGGTACATTGTGTTGATCAGCATTATGTATCATAAGAAATTTTTTGCCCAGTGACAGTAGGTTTATGTACCTAATCCTATTCTCAGTCATTTCGTGTTAGTCCCCCGTTTTTTTTTTTCTTGGTTTATTTCCAAGCTGATTTGGCCTTTTCCATGGGCCAGCACATGACAGGCCCGTATTCCTTGCAAGACGGATCGTAGGTGAAAGGCCATGTCATCTCGTTTGTTGACTCGCATTCAAAATTTTATTGAACTACTATTTCATGAACTTATATCAATAATTTTTGTATCAAACTGTAGATTATAATTCAAATTTAAAAGTAAATATAAAAAACAACACAGATTAACATCGATTTTTGTGTGTCACGTGGTATGTT